GCACGTCTCGGCAAATAAACTTGTGAAGTGATTTATCGTTGACTTCACAATAAAGTTCAGTAATTGTCCGCTGTATGAATATTTTTTAATTCTACTTTTATGACAGCCATATGAGAAAAAATATTGAAATTGCCTGCTATTAAACTACGAATCATAATTTTTTTTATTTGAACTCTCGAAGTTCAAAGTTTTCTAGAGTTTTCTTTTATTCTAGACCTGAAAGGAATTTTAGAATAGACTTTATTTTGTATTCAAAAGGCTCTTAAGTTTGACTTCTAATAACCCTGTAGACACGAAGAACCTTCTGTCTCTCAAATCCTTATTTATATAATTTTCGAAGGATACTAAGAAACTGTATCATTTAGAAGAAACGATGTCCTAGAGGGCAACAAACGCTACTGAAGTTAGCCATCTAAAATTTATTTTCTACGATGAAGTTGTTAGAAGAATTTTATTTGAACGTAAATAAAAATAAACTGCGTGTTATCAGTTTTACTATCAGAAAGTTCAGACTTCGTTATGAGCTACAGTCCAACATATGACATAAGATCTCATATTGATGAAAAATCAACTATTAAACTGATTTCAAATAATTATTCAAATCACTTTTGCTTGAATGGAACTGATATTTCATTTACCAACATTAATATTGTTCCAGAACATAATCCGTCACTGATATACACTAAACGTCATATACGAGACAAATACATTATTCATCAGCGCTATTCATGTGTTGTATTGTATTATTCATGTGTTCGAATGCGTCATTAACGAGCTTCTTTAATGTTAAAATGACGAATGTGCAAATAACGAATTCGTAACGTCATCGTCATACCAAAATTCGTCATTCACTAGTTCTTTGCGTAATTTATGTTCTCTATTTCACCATTTGAAGGAAATTTTTTATAAGCATTTTGCTTCCTCGACTTGAGGGAATGCGGCATTAGTATGACCGAATACGTCATTCAAGTTTTCGAATACGTAACAATACGTCAATCTCAAGCGCGAATAATTTCACAAACATCAATATGTGCTATCACTAATTCTGAGCTTCGATACTTGATTTTTAAATTCTAATATTTCAATTGTATACGCGCGCTAGTATGACATTTAAGTGCACTAATACGTTATTTAAGTGCCGCAAAAATTTTATTTCCCGAACAAATCGCACGTACAAATTAAGTAGAACAATAAGTTCCGGAAATAACAGCCGCGATTCCGAGTCATCGGTCGACCACCTGCATTCTAATCGAGTTCTTCTAAATGCCAACAAGACTCGCCAGTACCGCCATGCGTTCGGGGCAAAAAACAGAAGAGATCCAAGGAAATCGGGACCAAGGCCACCTGATCCCGTTCGCTAGAGCCTGATGAGTTTACTCCACGAGATTTATGCGTGAAATCCTGAGGCCATACTTTAAAAAAAGTTAAGAGATCGTAAGTTCATCAGCCAATCATTGACTGCCTCTCAAGCAAAATCCACCAATTATAGACAATAAATAGTCCGTAAGTACTTACGTTCACTTAGCGAATTTTGAAAGTATGGTCCCTGGTCACGTTAGATCTACGTCGGGAAATATTGTTTTAAATGATATACCTCGAAATTATTTCAGATGTTCTCCATGTCAAAATTACGTTACGTCAGGTGATCTATACGTCGGAAAATCATCATGGTAGATGATCTACGTCGGGAGATCTACACGTCGGAAATTCAACATGTCAGATGATATACGTCGAAATTATTTCATACGTTCTGTATGTCAAAATTGTATAACATCAGATGAGCTATACGTCGGAAGATCATAATGTCATGTGATATGCGTAGGAAAATCGTTATGTCAGTTGATTTATATACATCAAGAGATCACCGCGTCAGATGATCTACGTCGGGAAATCATTATTTCAGATGTTCTATATGCCAAAATATCGTCACATCTGGTCATCTATTCGTCGGAAGATCATGTCAGATGATATACGCAGGAAAATCATTGTTAGGAAAATCATTCATTAAAAGATCACCACATCAGATGATCTAAAAGCTGAACGATTGTTACGTCAGTTGGTCATTAGAACAATTCTTCTTTAGAGATCACTCTGAAGATCAGTACATATAAATTAATGCACGCAAGAAAATGCGTATATATGGCCCGAATTTAAAAGTAACAGTCAACATATTTAAAAATATTTGTTAAAATAAAATTGTGTGTGCAAATGTCGGTTTTTAGCGCATTTTCTCATTTATGGAAAAAAGTGCTATTGTGCTCGTCATGTCCGTCCGTCTGTCTGTCCGTCTGTCGGTTACCACGTTTTCGTCGACGAGAAAATGCGCTCTCTGTCAGTCACTGCAGTGAGTACTGAGTTATATTTTTTCATCAAGATGCCGATAAATGCGTTAAAGGCTAATTCTAAAACAGAAAGATTGATCTTGGCGTGAATATTATTATCAATAGATGCCTCAGATCTTTCTTTAGTGGCAAGGTTGATGTCTGCATCGATAATTATTGGTCCGGAGACACAATACATTATTATGTGTTAAACTTATTTATATTATTATGTGTTCAACATACCAATGTGAATATCAAAATTTCGTCCTGAGAAGTTCCATATAAATCCTAAAAATCGAAATAAATGTGTAAATGAGAGTTAAGGATCAGAATTGGCCGTTCAAAGTAACGGTACATATGCGGACACAATATCCGAGAAGGGGTAACAGTTTTTATCTTTGGCTGGGAATGTCACAAATGTTTGTAATATCATAGTAACGTGTGAGGTTTGGAGATGTTACAGCAATGTAACGTCCGATTGTTGGAGACGTTACAGTTGTAACAACGACATGATATCCGTGGTTTGGTGATGTTACAGTTGTCGCAAAAGTTGTAACAACGAAGCGTTGCCCGAGTTTGCAGATGCTACAGTTGTTGAAGTTGTTACAGTGAAGTGATGTTCGAGGTTTGGTGACGTTACAGTTGTCGCAAAAGTTGTAACAACGAAGCGTTGCCTGAGTTTGAAGATGCTACAGTTGTTGAAGTTGTTACAGTGAAGTGATATCCGTGGTTTGATGACTTTACAGTTGTCGCAAAAGTTGTAAAAACTAAGCGTTGCCCGAGTTTGAAGATGCTACAGTTGTTGAAGTTGTTACAGTGAAGTGATGTCCGTAGTTTGATAACGTTACAGACTTACAGTTGTCGCAAAAGTTGTAACAACGAAGCGTTGCCCGAGTTTGTAGATGCGACACGCTTCATTGTTACAACTTTTGGCAATTGCGTTGTCCGAGTTTGCAGATGCTACAGTTGTTGAGGTTGTTACAGTGAAGTGATGTCCGAGGTTTGCTGACGTTACAGTTACCGAAAAAGTTGCCATAACGAGGCGATGTCCGAGTTTGGAGATAATGATAAAATCGGAGGCAAGAACGAGCGCCGGTACCCCTACTAATCACGCTGCTAGCTGTCCCCACAACACAGGTTGGACCGTGCGTATTGGCTGCAGATGCGGTCAGGGTATCAATGAACCTAATCGCGACAATCGGGCTACTGTTATGTGGTAGCCAACCTTACGCTAGTTGCTCTTCTCAATGGAGAGTGCATATTTCAAGTGTATTGATGCCGAGTATCAAGCTTTCACTGGCTTTACGAAGAACAATAAGGAAGATTCATTTAAGGAATATTTTATTCATGAGTTATAGTGCTGTGGAACTTGCAACTTTCAATCAAGTGATTGTATGAATTTATTTGCTTTAAAATTTTTCTAACTTTCGAGTTTTAAAATTTTAGGGGGTGTTTTGACTTCATTCATCGCTGCAGTTTTAACAAGCATTGAAAATTTTTTTCAATAGATGCGAAACTCGTACGTAGATTTATCATATGGTTTCAGGAATCCATAGCAATGTCTGCATGCGATACTCTGCAGTACCATGTTTTAGTTTACCATGCGAAACTTGTACACAGATTCGTCACATAGCTTCGGAAATCTAGTGTTTGCAACTAATGCTCCGCAGTACATTATTTTATTTATTTTATCATGCGGAACTGATGCACAAAATTGTTAGCGAAAACAAACCGCGGGATGTCAACCAGACGACATCGCATACAGAAGATATCCGGAGATAACAATTTGGCTTAATATCCCCTGAAAATTATATTTATACATTCAATATGTGTTCTACAACCTGGCGCATATATGTTCTGTATTGACAAAATCGTGTACGATTACCATTTTTTAAGTTGGACTTTCCTCATTGCAATATACATATATCATGTTTAATCACTTTATTGCATTCGTTAATTGGCCCCGTTGTTTATTTATGTTTTTTTAGGTGTGGTTTCCAGGATTATCTGGATTTTCTGTTGTGCTGGAAGAATACCTTGCCTTCTTTACAAATTCTATCCGCATCAACAATTCAATCTCAAATCTCATTCTAGGAATCATTCAAACAGAAACTGCACGTGTTAAATTACGATAATAAACAAAATTTTTATTAATTGAAGTCATTTCATAATCCATGCGCAGCGGACAGTTCAGTGCATTTCCTTAATAAAAAAGTAAGTTTTCAATAAATATGATATTATCCGATATTCCTAGGCAGTTATTAAAGAATAACTATGGCGGCCATCATGCGGCTGTTACAATTACAGGAAAATTTTGTTGAACATTGAAACGTCTAATTTATCTTAAAGCGTTATACGTACAAGCAGTTCATTTTTAAATGGACGAATTCGGTTGCGCGTTGATAACATTTTTCATCAGATATGGTGCCTTTTTATTTTGTTTTAATTCATTAACTTAAATAGATAAATTTCTGAATTCTTCCAAATTAATAATTGATGCAGGTACAACCAAATAATTTCCGCTTGATATCGTCCCGAGCGCCCTCTAGCTTGATGTTATGCATCTTATTCGCTATGAACGGCCGAGTGAGGCGTGTTCGTGCTCCCATATGCTGCTGTGCGCTGGAACAGCAGCAACCGCTGTTCAGTTTACTATGAACTTCTGTTCAGTGCGGTAGGTTGCAGTTCAGTGCCGAATGTGAAAGCGATAATTGATGTTACCATAAAAATAAAATTGTGTTGAAGTGGCGTCGACAATGATGGGCATTACAAACGGAGCCATTATTAATGTAGGTGGAGTGAGTTAAGTTTTATTTTTTTAATGTTGATGAAGGTCGCGATGACATTGAATCATAGGTTATCTGCGTTGTAAAGCTATAATTTTATGTATCTAGTCCAATAAAATGCTCTCAAAATAGTGTGCAGAAATGAATCTGATTTCATGGGAGATAAGATTTCATGAGCGAAATAGAGTTGAATGTTTATCCTTTGGTATAATTTGATATGTGACGTTATTATTTTATATGTGAAATATGAAAAATGTTTTGTGAAATATTAATAAACTCAGTCTGTCTAGAATTCGTAAAATAATAATTTAAAGTTGATTAAACAAATTTTATGAATACCGGTAGGCATATACATCGCACGAACATTAATACGTTGCGACAAAAAGATTTACCACAGAATCTACTTTCGCAATGCCGTTTGACTCTAAACTGGATTTTCCGGGTGCAAGATTTAGAGGGTAAAATATTATGTAACTGCTTGCTAATGAAAATATATTTTTTGTAATTTTATTCTAATTTTCCCGCACCTCCCTGATGAACCCATGATTATTGATGTATATGTGTAAGTTTAATTTCCAGCGTTTACGTTCACTTAAGCGTCAGCGTTCACTTAACTATATGTAATTTTCGATGCAAGCGAAAAATTCAAGGCAATTTTAATTAAAAAAATTATTTGTTGCAACGTATTACTCACAAAATGTGGAGCCATTTTCAATGCGATATAGGCCTACTGCGAATTTATGTGCTTGCACCCGCAAAAAGTTAGTTTCGCGAATATTTTTTAGATTTTTCGTATTTGGAGTTTCTCGGTTTATTTTTTTATCCGAATTCATTGATGAGCAGAAAAATTACTTCCTGACGCTGGTTTAGGCGCCGAAAAAGAAAAAAATCTAAGCTTTTTGTCATGAATAAAATATTGACTTTTTTAATTCTCTGTATGAGGTGCCAAAATGTACTGCAGTTTTATAAATTACGAAAACATAATTTCGCTTTGATAATAATTCTTCCATACTCTCAGCTGTATAATTTTTTATTTCTATTTATTTATGTATATTATTTCCACATTTTATCTAATTTCAACCACAAACTAACAAATCTTAGTTTTTTACTCATTTTTTAAAATTCAATTCAGTTCAAACCAAAAATCTAACCTTAGTACTTAGTTTGAAAATACTCCTGATATAGGTAAGCCAGAAACAGAAATGCCACAACGCTAATATCAGCTTGTTCGCAAATGCCCATTGAGACCACTGCACCAACCATCAGATTGTAATGCAAATGTGTTATTCACTGATCATAATATTTATCAAGTATCTCATCGCTGATAAAGTCGCCAATATTCAGCACACGTTCACAAATGCTTTCTGCCTCATCTTTAATCAACGCATGTGTTGATGCTCAATTCAAAGTGGGCATTACCGTCTTGCTAAACTCGTGTCGTTAAATCCGTGCAAAATTTTAACTTCTCATTATTTATCTATCGGTAACATCCAAATTAGAAATATTTCTATTGATTACCCGTGGTAAATACTTCTAGTATATTCGTATGGAACTAGAGTTACCCTCAACAGATAAAGAATAAAACATATTCACAAATGTCATGCATGGAGAGACACAAATAACAGCATTACACTTGTTATTGTTCTATAGTGCGCAGCCTCCACCCGTTCGTGTATTATTCGTTAAATCTGCGATCTTCATTTTTAAGGTCGCGATTTTTTGCTAGTTTGGCTCCCACTGAAGGCCGCTGTTACAGTACGAGAGGGGCCAGATGTGCTAGTAACTTCACATTACTCAATGCCATGTTGCTGTATGTGTTACCCTGTCAGTTGTATGTTGTTGTTATGCAACCGACGGGGTAATGTTGTTACCCAGTCAGTTGTATGTTGTTGTAATGAAACTGACAGGGTAATGTTGTTAACCTGTCAGTTGTATGTTGTAATACAACTGACAGGGTAATGTTGTTACCCAGTCAGTTGTATGTTGTAATACAACTGACAGGGTAATGTTGTAGCCCTGTCAGTTGTATGTTGTTGTAATACAACTGACAGAGTAATGTTGTTACCTTGTCAGTTGTATGTTGTTGTAATGCAACTGACAGGGTAATGTTGTTACCCTGTCAGTTGTATGTTGTTGTAATACAACTGACAGGGTAATGTTGTTACCCAGTCAGTTGTATGTTGTTATGCAACCGACAGGGAAATGTTGTTACCCAGTCAGTTGCATGTTGTTGTAATGCAACCGACAGGGTAATGTTACCCTGTCAGTTGTGTGTTGTTGTAATACAACTGACAGAGTAATGTTGCTACCCTGTCAGTTGTATGTTGTTGTAATACAACTGACAGAGTAATGTTGTTACCCTGTCAGTTGTATGTCTGTCTCTTATACACATCTAGATGTGTATAAGAGACAGGGGTTACCCTGTCAGTTGTATGTTGTTGTAATACAACTGACAGAGTAATGTTGTTACCCTGTCAGTTGTATGTTGTTGTTATGCAACTGACAGGGTAATGTTGTTACCCTCTCAGTTGCATGTTGTTGTAATACAACCGACGGGGTAATGTTGTTACCCTGTCAGTTGTATGTTGTTGTTATGCAACCGACAGGGTAATGTTGTTACCCTGTCAGTAGTATGTTGTTGTAATACAACTGACAGGGTAATGTTGTTTCCCTGTCAGTTGTATGTTGTTGTAATACAACTGACTGGGTAATGTTGTTACCCTGTCAGTTGTATGTTGTTGTAATGCAACTGACAGAGTAATGTTGTTACCCTGTCAGTTGCATGTTGTTGTAATACAACTGACAGAGTAATGTTGTTACCCTGTCAGATGTATGTTGTTGTAATACAACTGACTGGGTAATGTTGTTACTCTGTCAGTTGTATGTTGTTGTAATACAACTGACAGGGTAATGTTGTTACCCTGTCAGATGTATATTGTTGTAATACAACTGACAGAGTAATGTTGTTACCCTGTCAGTTGTATGTTGTTGTAATACAACTGACAGTAGATGTGTATAAGAGACAGGGGTAATGTTGTTACCCTGTCAGTTGTATGTTGTTGTAATACAACTGACAGAGTAATGTTGTTACCCTGTCAGTTGTATGTTGTTGTAATACAACTGACAGGGTAATGTTGTTACCCTGTCAGTAGTATGTTGTTGTAATACAACTGACGGGGTAATGTTGTTACCCTGTCAGTTGTATGTTGTTGTAGTACTGACAGGGTAATGTTGTTACTCTGTCAGTTGTATGTTGTAGTACAACTGACAGGGTAATGTTGTTACTCTGTCAGTTGTATGTTGTAATACAACTGACAGGGTAATGTTGTTACCCTGTAAGTTGTATGTTGTTGTAATCCAACTGACAGGGTAATGTTGTTACCCTGTCAGTTGTATGTTGTTGTAATACAACTGACAGAGTAATGTTGCTGTCTCTTATACACATCTAGATGTGTATAAGAGACAGGTATNACTGACAGGGTAATGTTGTTACCCTGTCAGTTGTATGTTGTAATACAACTGACAGGGTAATGTTGTTACCCTGTCAGTTGTATGTTGTTATGCAACCGACAGGGTAATGTTGTTACCCTGTCAGTTGTATGTTGCAATACAACTGACAGGGTAATGTTGTTACCCTGTCAAGTGTATGTTATTGTTGTAATTCAACTGACAGAGTAATGTTGTTACCTTAGCAGTTGTATGTTGTTCTAATACAACTGCCTGGGTAATGTTGTAATCCTGTCAGTTGTATGTTATTGTGTAATTGCAACTGACAGGGTAATATTGTTACCCTGTCAGTAGTATGTTATTTTTGTAATACAACTGGCAGGGTAATATTGTTACCCTGTCAGTTGTATGTTATTGTTATAATACAACTGACAGGGAGATGTTGTTACCCTGTCAGTTGTATGCCGTTGTAATACAACTGACAGGGTAATGTTGTTACCCTGTCAGTTGTATGTTGTTATTCAACCGACAGGTTAATGTTGTTACCCTGTCAGTTGTATGTTGTTGTAACACAACTGACAGGGTAATGTTGTTACCCTGTCAGTTGTATGTTGTTGTAACACAACCGACAGGGTAATATTGTTACCCTGTCAGTTGTATGTTGTTGTAACACAACTGACAGGTTAATGTTGTAGCCCTGTCAGTTGTATGTTGTTGTAATACAACCGACAGGGCAATGTTGTTACCCTGTCAGTTGTATGTTGTTATAATACAACTGACAGAGTAATGTTGTTACCCTGTCAGTTGTAAGTTGTATGTTGTTGTTATGCAACCGACGGGGTAATGTTGTTACCCTGTCAGGTGTATGTTGTTGTAATACAACTGACAGGGTAATGTTGTTACCCTGTCAGGTGTATGTTGTTGGGTGTCATGTTATGATGTTTGAATAACTTGTCTCCTGTCAACTGCTTCGCAAACAACACATAAAATTAAATTTTTTTTACTTAGGAGGTCTCATTCGAGAGTAAAATCTTGAAGCTGCGAGAATTGGTGTAGAAATGATTTCTAAAATTCTTTATTATAATAATAGATTGTCTATGCCCATATATTTTTTCTTGAAAATAATAACTTTATAAATGTTTACATAATACATATACTGTAAAATATAATTTAGAAATAAGAAACTAACAAAGTTCCTAAAAAGCTTATAGGGGAATAGGGATCTTTCACAGTCAAACATGAAGCTTCTTCTTAATGCATGATTTGCATAGACGTACACTTCATTTGCATGTCCTTAGAGTATCGGTATCAAGAGAGTATTTATTTATTTATTTATTTCTACAAGAGGTTCTTGTAGAAATATAAAAAAGGTCCCCAAACAGTCGTAACTGTCATGGCTTCCTCAGCAGCGTACAGTGCAGAACAGAAGGCGACTGTTTACTCGTGGTACCTCATTGCCAACCGACCTCATATGAGACAATGTAATCGATAAATAATATTATTTTACTTAATTTATATAATAAATAAAATTGCTGAAATTTCAAATTTAACTACAT